GCCCCTGCCCACGGCCGCGGCCCTCCCGTCGAGCGCGGCCTGTGTTTTCTGCCCCCCGAGGCGCCCTTTCAGAGTCCCTTTCAGAATTTAAACCACCTCCGTGTTTTTTTTTTTTTTATTCGACCCGTGCACTGAAACGGGAGCTGAAGTACCAAATCAATAATCCCCGTGAAATAAAACGGCACGCCTACCGAGAGGTAAGAAATATCCTCTTTTATTATTGTTTTGTTTCCTCCAAAGGCTATAAATAGGAATTCTCGTTGATTTCAACTGAGATACATGTCAGTTTTGGGGCCTTTATTATAAGCAAATAAAGGTATTTTTTCTTCAGATCGAAAGGGGTAGAAAGAGAGCGCTTTGGATAGAAGACTAATGCAGATTAGGTCAATAGCACGAACCGGCAAGGGATATAAAGGAAAATCTAGGCAGAGTCCCTCTCCAGAACACTTTCACACACTCGCTCTGATAAAATAGAGCAAGGCCTTCGCAGTAAAATAAAAAGCACTAATTAAAACCCAGATAAACAAGCAAATCCCTTTTTAAAGGACAGCTGCGCTCTGGCAAAAAAGAACTATTTCCAGAGGGAGCCATAAAATTGGAGACTTTGGCCAGAAGCCACTGAATGGAGGAGCAAAGAGTTGACTCCTCATATTCAGCAACTACCGTATTACAAAGCAAGTCTCCATACAGACCCAGCTAGGGAAGCGTATCAAGCACTTGTACTAATATCCGAATGCGTGGAGAGTCTCGTTCCACCCCTTCCAAAAGCGTTCTACAGGCAGAGAGGGCAGGAAGGCTGCTGCCTTGCCTCGTTCTTTCTTTCACCACCTCCACAGAGAGCTGGAAGCAAGAACCAGAAGTCAAACTACAGTTGGGGAAAGGAGAGCAAGAACTCCAGAGTTCTGCAGAGCCCCAAAACACAGAAAATTAAAAGCGATTCCCAAAGGAAGACAGTCCTCGAACATGTGCTGCCTGTATCATTGCACACATTCCTCCGTTCCGAGCAGCTCGATGGGAATTAGGAGTTTGCACACACAAAGCGAAGGCAGACTTGATCAAAGCCCAGAGGACGTCAGCACCATTCCTTTCGCGCATGCTAAATTGATTCAACCCCGAATCTAGCAGACGGTTAGACAGTTTCCACTAAAACCAGAAATACTAAACCAGCAGCAACACGTTTAGTGATCCACCACAGGCAACGCAAGAACGTTTACGGCTGCACACTTCGAATTGCAGTCCTAACAATTAATTTACATCTTCTCCTCACGTCTCAGCTGCAGGTCTGTGAAAGGACACCTCAGGTAGCAGAGGCCCAATTACACAGGTAGCTGCGGATCTATATTCTTGAGTCTGCCCAAGCACGTGGGCAATACTGGGAGGATGACATCTCCCAAAGAAGAGGTCTCGTCTTGAAGCATATGGTTCAGTCCACGTTCTAAAATTTAAGACCTCTCACTGAGTAAGGAATCATTTCTTTTAGACTTGCAAAGCTTCAGAAAACGAAGAAAATTTGTTTCAATACCAAAAGAATTCACAGCAGTCAGCTTGATAATGAGTTCCTAACCCATGTATGTTACTCCACAGGAAAGTCACAGATGACATGGAAAATAAAAGCTTAATGGTGTTTAGAGATCAGGTTAAGTAAAGGTGGGGAAAAAAAAAAAAATCATAAGTTCATGGAGTCATAACTTCATAATAATAATAATCAAAAAAAGAGTATATTAAAATGACTTGCCCCATCTTTATGTAGAGATTATACATATTTAAAATACTATTTTCCAGGTAAACATACAATAAAAACATTATTCAAATAGCAATTCAGATATCCCGCATTACAAGATTCTTTTAGAAAGCTTCTTTCTCGTTACTCTATTTTCAAGTATATCAGTCAGGTGAATCAGTCAGTGGTATAAAAAGCTGCTTCTACTTTTTCTACTGCGCTGTCTTCCCCACCCGGTTTCTCCTGGGCAACCGGTTCTTGTTCTGCAAGCACACAAACCCCTGCTTTACTGGATTCTTGGATTTAGAAAGGCCACCTTTTTGCAGAGAACGGGAACTGCAAGCGGTAAGGGTCCCACGTCCAGCCTCTTCCTGGCTCAGTCGGAATCATCAGCACAACCATCACTGCCTTCCAGATCGCTGCTGTTCTGTAAAGCAAAATGGAAAGTGGTTTGTCAGTATTTCATTTACAACTAGAGACTGACCTAAATCAAAGACGTTGACTGTAAACTTCCCCAAAAGCGTAAGGAAATGGGGCTAGATCCCAACATCATGTCTTAGACCCATCTATTGTAACAAAATTCTGTGATGGTAAATGATGCTTCTTGTAGCAAAAAAATGGTACATTGGATTACACTCACCAGCAGAAGACATTTCTTCTCATTTATATTTACAACAGCATGATTACAACCTGCAGTACGTGGGAAACTTAAAAGTGGGATAATAGCATGAAATGCTGATGTTTAAAATAAATGCAGGTGAGACAAGTTAACAAGTGCTTTTTTCATGCAAGTCCCTCAAAAGCTGTTTGTTACGTTGTCTAAAGCCAGATTTGAGAATTTTGTTTGTCTACTGCAGAGAACTTACGTCCAAACTGTATTAGAGAGATGCAAGGGCTCATAATGCAAGGGCTAATACTTGTTTAAAAACGAAGTCAGTTGTACAAACTAGTATTAGGGAAATACCACAAACATTAGCAACTTACAAGGAAACTGAAGTCTGAGTTCTTAACTGGGAGACGCTCCTTCAGGAGTAAGTCAATACAGTGCGATAAATTTGGGGGGTTTACGTAATTTTTTGAAGCAAGTATTTTGACTGATATGATTGGCATCAAAGGATTTTAGAAAGAAAGGCAGGCTAACATGACAATATGCCTGTAGTTACTCCTTTTTTTCCTCACCACCACTTGCTGAAAACATATAAACCTCCAAATCCCATGAATTTAACATTGACAATTTAATATTTTACTGCAAAACAAATTCTGAGAGACTTGGACAGTTGCCTTCGTAACAGCAAGCACAAGCTCACTGAAGTGCAAACAGCCTGCAGAATCTCAAAGGAGTCTGTCATATCATCCCTTATTTATCCTTCTCCAGACAACTTGTGCTAACTATGATGCCAAAACTGTATTCGGTCAAGTTTATCTAAAGCAAGCAGACCTGCCTCCCGCTAGCAATACATCAGTGATTTTTGAACCTGTCAGCAGTAAGTCCTGCCAACATTATCATCAAGACCCCTGAGCCAGGTAAGGGCTCTCTGCACCACGCGGTCTCTTTGGGTCCCATTTAACCAAACTAATGTGGCGTTTGTCATAACCTCCTGTCACAAATGTCCTCGTACAGCACTACACTTCAGAAAAACAATTACCACAAGTACAAAAATAACCCTGAGAAATTGCTGGTATCTTGCTTGTACTGTTCAACGAGGCTTTGTTTTCAACAAGTTTTATTTTATATGTTGAAACTCTTTCTCATACTCAAACAAAAAATGGCAGAGACAGGATTAAACCTAACATTTTTCAGAGCAGGATCAGTATCTACACAAAATACAGCTAATTTTAAAGACTCCATTGAGTGAAAAAACGTCGTTATTTTCTTCTGAGTTGCACTACTCAGAAGTGTTAGCCCTGCCCATCATTTGTCCTTCAAGGATTTGCCAGCCCTCTGACCAAGAAAATTTGAATTCCGTACAGAAGTGGAAGGTATCTTTAGGCCATCGAGTCCAGCCCCCCACCCAAGCAGGGCTTGCTTCAAAGTTAGATTGGCTTGATTAGGGACTTGTCGAATCAAGCACTGTCGTATTTTAAGTCACCCCAGTGGCTGTCAATTTAAAGAAATATTTTGCGAGTTTGACTCAAGATTCCTCATGTGGTTTCCAACCTACTTCTAGCACGTCCCAAACATCTTTCCACTCTTTTCTTTTGAAGCTATTCTACATCTCAACCAGAAAAAAAAAAAAATTCTTTAACTTAAAACTGAAATTTTCTTTTGGTTAAACATGTATTCTACACCTTTGTTTTATTGCAACTCACAGCTGACAGCAGTTCCTGTTGTCAGAAATCAGATTTTGCAATATCCCATTTTACTCAGTAGGAGTTGTTCTGATGACCCATTTTGAGCCCATGGCAGATTTACTTAAAAAAAGCTGGTCCTAAATTTCCCCGATTCCAAACCTTATCTAGTGAACAGGGCATTACACAAAATGAGAATTAGCCCCAAGTCAGCGAATACAAAGAGCCAGCAGGCATTTAAAGGGAAACTGTCAACCTGAAAACTAGTCTCTCAAACAGCTTCACAACAGCAAGGGCTGGTAACGTGGCCACAATTTCTGTTGCCGGTTTACGATTCTGCAAATTGGCCTGTGCTTTAAAGCATTCCTTCCTCCCTCCCTCAACACCCCCATGCAAAACCCTGCAAAAATAACACTTGGTATAGTTCATTCCACTGTCATCAAGTGCACAAAGACGGAAAAGATAATAAACATTTCATACTCCAGGTGACTGTCATCTTCCATGGCACATTCATGGAAAACAAAACTGTTACTAAGGGAGGAGCTACTTCAGCTGGACAGCTTCCATTCGATAAAATCATGGCTTCGATCATTACCTTCGAATTTTTGTTGTTAGCTTGCATCCCAACAACCGAAGAGTTGAAGTCATGAATGGAGAGGGTGTTTAGCCAGTTCACCATGGATTTCTCTTCCCTTTCTGTGTTGATAATGGTAGGATAGATGTACTGCTCTTTGAAAACAGCAATCTTCTCCTCCTCCTCTGTCCACTCCAGTGGCTCATGCAGCCCGTCATTTCCAAAACGTCTGTTGTATTTTTCAAAGTGTACTCTTTCCAAGACCAGCCCAAGTCCTGGAGCTTTGGGGACATCTACCTTCTCCTCTCCCCAGCTGAGCTCTATGATAGACTCGGCAGCATAACCTTTCACAACAGCTATCACCAGCCCAATCATCTTCCTTATTTGGTGCATCATGAAACTCTGACCTTTCACTTTGATCACTGCAAATTCCATGTCTTCCCTCACGAACGGCTCTCCACAGTACATCTCCATTATGTACCGCTTGGCACTGGGGTCCCTGGGTCCCTTCTGAGATGTGAAGTTGTGGAAGTTGTGCGTTCCTTTATAGCACGCAAGCAGTTTATTGACTTTTTCAAGGGTCTCTCTGTCCAGTCGATAAACCTCTTCTTGCGCATCATGGTCTTTATGGGCAAAGGCAAATGTTGGCAGCATGTAAGAGTAGGTTCTGGCATCGCATTTGTTCTTGGAGTTGAATCCCCCAGTGACTCTCTTCAGACCTTATTTTAAAAGGGACATTAGGTTTTTGAATCAGTAGGTTACAACCGGATTGTGATCTTGCGCCTACCAACAAGAATATTTTTTTTAAATGAAATACAATCAAAAGATAGAAAGGTTTATTTTATAGGACCCTGATTTCAAACTAACAGAAACATACGGGTTCATGTTAAAACTAAACCACTTATAAGTAAAATTATAATGGTAAGGGAGAGACCTTCTGCAGGAGAAAGCTCCTCTTTGAAAACATTTTCTCTGCCCATTCCAGTATCCTTACCCAGAATTCTGATGTGAGAAGGAAGATGGTTATTGATCTTTTCTAAGATGTCATCTATTAGCCTGACCTTTAGCGACACAATCTGTCCAGCTGCAGACACACCCTATAAAAAACATAACACACACACAAACACATAGTTATGTACCTTGGAAGCTCTGGGATAGCACTTGCAGAATTGAAACAGCCGAAGAACAAGTTTATTCCTTTTTCTCACTGGTCATTCCAGGCTGAAGCGAGACAAAGGCAAGGCCACAGGCAGAAATCCAAGTCGAGTACTCCTGGAAGACCTGCTGGTGCTGTATCGCCATACAGCACCTTAGGAATCTTACACAGCAGAACACTGCACTCCCTTCCACGACATCTCACTGTGTTTGACTGCTATTAAGTAAAGCACCAACTGAAATGACTTAATATGTAAGATCAGCCACGAACTCCAGTTCAGACTTAGGACCGCGCTGCGGCGGGCTTAAAAACAACTGAGAAGCAGCCAAAGTCTCAAGCACCGCATCGACCAGGCAGCAGCAACAATGAGGAGCAGCAGCAGCAGGCTGGGAGGCTGAAGCAGACGCATGTGACAGAAACACAGACAAAGTTTAGGTAGGAAGCACCAGCTTTACAAACACCATCTAATCAATATCCTGCACTTTCTAAGTATTTGCTGGTACGTAAGTTTAGCAGCGGATGGAAGGAGACGTTTCAAGCACCATTCACTGCGAATAGTATTTGCTGTTGGACCTCACTCTAGACAACGCTTTACCAGCCAACCCCAGTAGCGCTGGCAGGGGTGCACCTGAGTTTACGAGAGCACAGGCCCTAACCAACGTACCTTATCCGTTCGAGCACACCGCTGAAAAGACATTTTCTTCATATCTTCCCCGTGGTTTTCTGGGATGCAGCCTGACTGAACAAGGGCAGATACTAAGTCATCTTCAATTGTCTTGAACTGTGAAGATCCCACGTTTCTCTAGAAGGGACATACAGTAAAAATAAGAAATAGAACAAATAGTAATAATTGGATAACTGAAGATGATAACTGAAAAATTTTGTTAATCAAACATCGTTGTGAAATTCTTTAAAAGTCTTCCCTTCACAGCCCTAAAAGCACTGCCATTCTCTAACAAAACTATGCTTTACTAGAGAGTGTTAATAAAACAGCTACATTCTGATTCACCTTTTACTGTTACTGCAAGTAAAGGATCATTTCTCATTTCACTGTGCAATACTTCTGCAATGGAGTTTTTTGACGATTCCTTCAACCACGTGAAACAGCACCAAAGTGCTGAAATACTGTTGCAGTGCCTGCAAGTCAACAGCTGCTGCTCCAAACCTAGCCTCTGCAAATCCTGCTTCTGGAAATGAGATTGGGTTCTTCCGCTCAGTTCGCCCAAGCCATTGTGTAACGCAGGCTGTGGTTTTCTCCAGTGACTTCTGCACTCAACTCACAGATGAACTGGAACAGAAATGCACAACTCCACTCGTGTGTAAGGCTTCAAAGCACGCACCCTCGGCACATACCATTTGATTACGAGAGCAGTAAAGCTGACAGGCACTTACACGGATGTGCCCACAAGCGTAAGTTTACTGCTGTTGAACAAACCTACTTTGTTGCATAAGCACGAAAGACTCCCTTCCCTGACTGCGTGCAATCTTATCCATTATCCTGTGGAGCTTTTAAAGCACACCTCAAGCGTGTGTATGGAGCCTGCAGGATGCTGAGAGGAGCAGCAGATGGAGCAAAATCATCCTCTCGCTGCCAAGACTGTGTGCCTCAAGAGCCTCCCTGCACAGGCAGGTCTGGTGCTGGGGCGCTGCTCGAATGCTGGTGCCGTAACAAAGCAACATCCCTTTTCTTCCACACGCAAACACAGAAGTCTTGCAACAGTTTTCCTGTTTCTAAACTGCTGCCAGCCACCCCATTAGAGTGCATCAGAAAAAGGAGAATTTAAAGTGTCTTCAAGTACAGATGATCTTTTTAAAAGTACAAGAGGCAGCAACAGTGATGCAAATTTGTTTCATTCAAATGCGCAGCTCGCAGTAAGACAACTTGAGGTCTAACCCTTAGCCCAACGGCTTTGAAATGTGAAGCTTCGCAGCTGAAGCACTGGTCAGAAGGGGATGGCTAGACAGCGCTTCAGGTTTTGACAGAACTGCAGTGCCCGTGCTTTCAGGCTCCTCAAGAGCCTTGTCTGCAGCAGTTTTTGAAAGATCTTCTGCTGATGCTCTATACTGAAGGCAGACTCACTAGAATCACCAAATGTCAGAGACGTACCACTGCCTTTTTCTATTCAAGTTACTACCAAGCCATGTGAATCCAGGCAATGCACTGCTCCTGCCCCTGCTTCTCAAGCTGCAGCTGCTTCCCCACTCAGTCACGACGACTACAGCTATAAACCTAACGGACTTCAAAAAAAAAAAACAAGCCACATTGTTTTGCCAAACGACATACTTGCATCCCATGGTAGCCTTTCCCCGAATATGCCATCAACAACACGATCTTCCTTTTGGGCGACTTTTTATTCCGCTCCTCCGCGTCCTCCTCATCCGCATCTCTCTTCAGCCTTTTATTTGGATGCCCGTTTTCCTCAGGCCTTTCAGCCACCTCGCCGCCGCCGTCCCCTCTCTTCGTCTGGCTGGCCCCCGCCGCTCTCAGATCCTCGGCCATCGTCAGGCCCTGCGGGGGACACAACGGCAGACAGCGCTCGGCAAGAAACCGAGGCGAAAAGTGAC